GTCCATTGTCTGCATGATCATTTCCAAAGTTGAACCGTGGACCTGGTACATTCAAATTTGGGAATGCTCATGCAGACAATGGATCCCGGACTAGGTGCGTTCCAATAAGTCTTCCTACCAATAAGATCATGTTGCTAAAACAAGGTCAAACAACCTCTGTACAACGAAAGGAGACTGCGACCACACAAAGGGCCACACCATCTTGGTCTTCATACCAGGTCAAGAAGATTGCGTGGATCATGAGTAAAAGTAGAATGAACATACTTAAAGATGTATTTCCAATTTCGTTTAAGGTGATGAGGGACTGGTAGAAATAGAATTTTCCCACAAATGATATGAGTTGAGCTGGCGTTTCCTGTGAATGTTTTACAAAGCTTTGCTTTCCCAAAAGTTGTTCTCATCCAGGCACCAGTGGACTGCAGTTTCGACCTTGTATCAACTGGTCTTATCAACACCCTCAGCGGGAGTCGAACCTCGACAGTACAGGAAGGGAGCTTGACACGCTAATCACTCGGCTCCACTGCCACGAGCGCCTTTTGGGTCACAATGCAAATGTGAATTTTCAAGAAGGGCCAGGCCTTTTTGCCATATCATATGCTTTTCGTGGAATTGTCGATGAAGCAAACGTATGTTTTGCTATAACAATCGACTAATATACTTTATTTTTCGAAAGCTTTGCTCTTGGGAAAGCAAATCTGTGTAAAAATTCAATGGAAACGTCAGCTCAACTCAAATCATTTGTGGGAAAATTCTACTTCTACCAGTTCTTCATCACCTTAAACGAACTTGGGTGAATACATCTTATAACTGATTTACTGGTAGTCACGAAAAACAATACTTAAATCGAAAAATAAAAATAATTAGCCTGTATACACATGCCTATCAATTGTGGCCTTTATTTCTCATTAAATAAAAGAAGGAAGATTTGGTGTTTGGTAACGCGACAGTTTGACAAGAATGTACTGCAGCTCTAAAGATGTCTACCAAATGATGGCGGAAAACTGGGCCTTTTTTTGCCCGAAACGAGGGAGGATGCTTCGTCGACTACGTCACTCCGATGCCCACATTAAACAGAAACGGCTACAGTACAACGGGAATCGACCTTAGAATCCCTTCATCAGACACTTTCATGCTAAATTGATGTCTCCACAATCGGAGAATCCTAAGATTTCTTCTTCTTCTTCTAATTGTGGCCAATATGTGCACTTTGAGTCGTTGCATTTTCGTCCTTTAGCCGATTCTGCCATTTCTCATCATTCTTCACTTGACCGTCCACACACGCAGTACCCTTTTGCATTTGGCCATGTTGTTTGGAGGCTCGGTTTTCTCAAAGTGGATTCAGCTATCCCCTCCGGCATTCTCCTCTTCCCGGGCACATTTTTTGGCCCAGCCTCACTCAGACGAACCATGACGAGATAATCTCTCCACTTTTGCCTCATCAGCGCACACAATATCCCGTTCACTCCACTGCCCCTCCACTCCGTGTCCCAATAAAGAATGTATGACCATTAC